GGGAGGGGCGCAAACCGAATCTTGCGCATCGAATTGGCGCGGGAATGACTGCCATTATTATTAGAGTTGTTTAGGTCTGATTTTGAAGAGGAAGAAGAGTCGTTGCGGGATAAGGGGAGCGTTACACTTTTTGCGAGTGGCGAACTCTTTGCTGACCACCGCCCATTGCCACCTGCACTCGATGGGCTTAGGGTGTTGTTATTGCCCACCTCTCGATGATCTTCGGAAGAGGCGGGGAGAGTGGCAGCGTGGACGCGTGGAGAGCGACCGAACAGAGTGGAGTTGCCACCGGTAGCGGGAGTGATGAGATGAGTGGTGGTGGTGGTGGTGGGCGAGTGGTTTGGTGGATATGGGTTGAGGAGAATTCCAGATTTAGGAACGGCGTTGACGAAGGGGACGGTGGAAGAGTTTGGGTTGGAGGTCGGTTCGTAAAAGAGCATCGGGGCGAGTGCGCTCGTCATCCTTGCTTGCTATTGTCCGTAGATTGGACCGGTTAACGTCGAGTGGGGTGTGTTGTAGACGATGAAATGGCCACTGAAAGAGCAAGTTTGAAAGGTAAAGTTGTTGGAAAAGTGTTGGTTGACGGTCAGACCGATGGAATGAAATTTGGGAAATAGACAATTTGGCCCTGGAGGTGACAACAAACGTGCGTTAGCAGGATGCAGAGGTGAGGATAGAGATGGATAATACTTTTAGATTTTTGTAAACGTAGAGAGTGACGAGGGCGAGGGAGGGAGCGGGGATGGTGGAGGCCAAGAAGTGGGCGAGCATCTGAGCTATAAGAGATGGAGGGGAGTGCGTGTAACCGCGGTTGTGGGAGTCCCCGACACCTGACTGGGCCGCGAGGGACGCGCATATTCACAATATTAAATCATGTTACTGTCAACTACTAGCATGTTGTTCGTATTATTTACAGAATTATTCACAGAATACTTGAACAGTTGTGCATAACGAAGTGAGCTGTGCCAAGCATCCAAGCCAAGAAGAGAACAGGGCCCTATTTCAAATAGTCCACTCTCCCCAGCCTCACGCCTCCTCCACCCTCGCCTCCAAATCCGTCGCACCTCCGTCACAGCCACCAGCGCACATCTTCTGTCATCGATAAGTCTTCCAAGAAGATCGCACTCGCTCTTGCACTTCCAAGCAAGGGCGACGAGCACGGAATTCACTCGGATACTGGGTCTGGTGGGGGTACGAGGTGCTTCTGTGGCAGTGACCCTCGATTGCCATATCAGGCATTGATTGTCCACTCCTGCCTCCCCGCACCGGCGACCATTACGCCCTTGCTATCAGCCTCTGGAAGGTGTACTCCCACCGGTGACTAAACCACGTCTATCTAGACAATAACAGTTCTACCGTTTATGGACTCTTCTAAAAATAACCGGTAGCATGTGCAAGAACTGGCGAACCTCGGCTTGCCGCTGCCAATCTCCACCTTCGACTTCGATATCACGTCGATCCAGCACACTAACGCAAACTAAAACACACATTAAATAGGATATATTCACTAGTATACACATCACGTCGCAAGATGCCTCGCGTCCCGCTCATCTTTGGCACAATGACCATTGGCGAACCAGGCAAAAACGGAGTTCGCACCGACTCTCTCCGTCCGTATCCTTCTTTTGCATCCCTACCCTTCTCATCTCACATTCCTCATTCCATTTGCGTTTGGGCCGGCCATGACGTCGACGCGCGCTCGTCGCGAACTCGCGAGTAGATGGCGCTCAGGAAATTCTAAATGTATTCTTCAAGCACGGCGGTAAAGAGGTAGACACTGCACGGTATGCGCAGCCGCAGCCTTCACACCACAATTCTCATCTCTTTGAATAGAATGTATGCAGAAGGGACTACAGAAGCTGTGAGTATCTAAAAATAAACATGGATCCATCTAATCATAGTAGTATCTATCCAAACTTGATCTACATGGTGCATCCGTGGACACCAAGTGCGAAATTCAATATTCGTTGTTCTCTACTCATATGGGCGCAGAGTGTATCCTGTGAATGCTGGTGATCATCATCCCGACAAGCTACGTGCGACGTTCCAGACGTCGCTCGACAAGCTAGGACCGAATATCAAACCCCGCGTGTTTTACCTGCACGCACCAGACCGTAGTGTTCCATTCAAGGATACTCTGGAAGCAGTGTGAGCCCCTCTCCCATCCTCTTTAACCGCTCTCAACACCTTGTAGTGATGCACTGTACAAAGAAGGCAAATTGTGAGCCACCTCACCCCTATTTCTACACGTCTTTGATACCCTCAGCGAGATATTCGGATTGTCCAACTATGCAGCTTGGGAAGTCGCCGAAATCATTGGTCTCTGCAACCTACACAACTATGTCAAACCTAAAATCTACCAGGCAATGTACAACCCCATCACACGCGCAATAGAAGACGAACTCGTGCCGTGCCTTCGAAAGAACGAGATCAGACTGGTGGTGTATAATCCCCTCGCGGGCGGTTATCTCGCTGGCAAGGTCAAAGATGGCTCTATCCCAGGTGAGCGAGGCGACTTTTACTCATCTCCAGCCTACTAAAATAAACTCGTCGACAGAGGGAAGGTTTAGTGGCGAGTCGGGTATGGCCAAAATGTATCGTGCAAGGTACTTGCAAGGCGCATACGCTGAAGCCCTCGAGACCATCCGCGCAGCAGCCGTAAGCCCCTCCCTCTTATCATATTTCCATACCTCTAACCCTTTGGTAGGAAAAGCACCAGTTTACGATGACCGAAGTCGCACTCCGCTGGATGCAACACCACTCGGCTCTCTTACCCACCGACGGAGTCATCCTCGGCGCCAGCAACCCCCAACAACTCGATCAGACGTGTGGAGAGAGTGAGAGGGGGCCATTACCTCAAGACGTACTGGACGCTTTGGATCTAGGGTGGAATAAAGTGGGCGTGAATTGTCCCAAGTACTGGAGGTGAGAGGTAGAACAATGTGGTATCAAATGACTGTACAAGTCAGCAATAATGTTTCAATAAAGAGTATAGTGTCTAATGTGCACAACGAGTTGTGGGTTACCATCCTCCTCCAATCCACCATCCCGCCCAAACCAACACCTCATCTCGATTCGGCCGTGAAAAAGTCTAAAACATCGTTGACATCATACATTCCAAATGCGTACTACATGCTCGCTACACCTAGTTGACACGCTTCTCCGCGCATCCTTCGACTTCTCATAACGCCTTCTCCGATCCAATTCACAACGAGTAAATCCCAATTCATAATCTGGAGTAGGGATCGTCGTATTGAGAAGGCGCCGATCCTGTCGTACTAAAAATAGCTCCAAACCACAATAGGCGGTTTATTTGCAAAATCGAGTAAACACATGGGTAGAGCGTCGGATGGTCGTGTACGGCGGTGGTGGGTCGACTGGATTGATACGGAAACCGTTCCGGTTCCGTTGGTTCGTAGTTTAAGACTTCGTTTGGTTGGAGCTAAAGAGGACGGCTTCTTTGTGCAAATGAAAGATTGGTGAACGTCGGTTCTACCGCCGTGGCTAGTGATATGCGAGGTATCAAGATACTCTAGAGATTCTCAAGGGCGTCATGTCATGCACAGCGGTAAAGTGTTGGACTCGTCTATTATAGGCGTGATGGGTTCTGGGATCTCAGACCTACTTCCAGTCGGTGAATAACCTCCAACAAATCTCACGTTCAAGTTCTTCTTTGGCGGGTTGGAGCTAAACGTAGTACGACGAGAAATGGCGGAGGGAGCAGCCTCTGCAAGTCGAGCGCGCACTTTGACTCTCCTTCTACTAATGTAAATTTTAAACGGTAAAAATTGTGAAATTTCTAGTGGGCCGCATTATGTTCTCGATTTAATGGAGCACCACTAGTTCTGGGCAGAATGTATACTTGCAACACGAGGCCAGTTATGTCGACCCAAATAATCTAATCTGTTGGTTTATGTTTCTATTTTCGCTAGCTTCCTGTACTTAGTATTGACTGGGTGGCAATCACTGGTTGTTCACTGAGTGATCTAATCTTGCGGGTTCGCTCGACTGAAGATAGGAGAGTGGGTGCCCAACGATCTTGACAAAGAACACCAGGAATGAGGACATGAGTCGTATTTCTAACATTTCCGAGTGACCGTAGATGATCATATAATAAAAGGATGTACACCTGGGACTCTGCCGTCGAAACGGGACCTAATGCACGACTTTCAAAGTCGCAAGAGGGTACTACGCTGACGGTTATCAGAAACCGACATAGGTATACGTTGCACTCCACTCTCCTCAATCACGCCACCATATCAGACCCATCAAAATCTAACTCAATCCGGTAAAGCCCCTCAAAGCAACTTGTATGCCAGCAACATCTGCCATTTGTGGTATCCTTACAATCGGTAGCACTTTAAATCACCGGTACATAAGTTGGGATCCGACGCTAGTTGGACATACTATCTACGACTCACCTTCTCCGCCTCATCTTCCGCCACACCAATGAGCACTCGTCCTGGGGTACCACTTCCTATCGATTTGGGTACACAGAGCGCTTATAATGTTCGATCTAAAGAATATCATACTACAATTACCGAAGATATGGGCGTCTGGGATATATACAACCAAATAACAATGGAGGCCGATCGCTTACTGGTAGTAGAATCGAATACTAGGCTTCATACCATCATCATCTGCGTATGAATAACATATCTATTGCATTATTAATGGCACTGATGACTGCGATTAGGTTGCACTGTACCTAGCGGTTGTTACACCCATCGCTATCGAAGCCACAAAGCAGACTCGAGATGACCCAGCTGAGAAGATACGAGACATCCTTTTGGTCATAAGTCGCCAGCTTGCAAATTCTTCGACCCCGCCATTCGAAGACAACGATGATACAGAGCCTTTATCAAGCGGAGTTATAGGCGGTCCTTTTCTACTCTTAAGTATGTATGTATACATCTCTATCGCCATATTTGCATCCTTTATACTGCTTTCATGGAACAGGTACGGTTTTCAGACCAACAGTTCATCTTCTCGGGACTTGATACTGAAATAACTCCCAGTTCAAGAAATAAGCAGAGATTGAGGGGGTTCATAAAGCTGCTCATAGTAGTTACGATACCGTCTCACTTCCTGTTCATGGGTGGTGTGGGTCTCTGGAGTGTCAATGTCACAGCTAAACCTAACGACTCTACAAAAAATCTTGGAAACTTTTTCTTGGTTCTTTCACTCTTAGCTTTGTTCGTTC